AGGGGCTCCTGGCCTTACTACTAGGAGCAAGGACGCTACTAGGAGCTGCTGGCATCGCTACTAGGAGCAAGGACGCTACTACTGGCCTTACTAGAAAAGGCGCCTGTCTCTCTGTGGTGCCTGCCAGTGGAGGCTAAAAACTCCGTGAGGAGCGTCTGCCCCGGATTCCGCTCGAAGAGGTCCGAACGCAGCTCCGGATGCGCCTGGCGGCTCTCAACGATCACCGATGGACCGTCTCTCAAGGTTCACTTTGTGAAAGTCACAACACAATCAATCACTTGCAGCGACTTGAAAAGGTCAATTCACCTCCCACCGTGGCCTTCAGCAACTGCGGGTTGAACCTCTCGAGGCTCCGAGACTCCCCACGAGCGGAAAAAGACGGATGTCAACAGCGACAGCCACCGTTGAACAGCTGTTGGAGTCTGAAAGTTCTTCCCCCGGCAGTCCAGGTGGTGAAAGACTTCACCTGGGCACGGCGGCATCGCTTCGAACGCATCAAGTTCCTGTTTTTTGAATGTTTTGGGACATTCCACAGCTCCTAGCGTTACCCACCTCTCTTTGGAACATGAAAGTCACACCTCTCTTGGCATGTTCACGAGGATCTCAAGACTTGCGGACCATTCCTATTACTAGAGACAAGAAGCTACGAACGGAACAAAGGGCATCGCTACTAGTAACAATGGCATCACTATTAGTAGCTTCTTGTTACTATAGTAGCGATGCCCTGTCTTCCGTTCGCAGCTTCTGCGTAGCTGTTACCATATCTGACCAAGTCCTTCTCCAGCACCTCCTTCCTCTGAGCGCGGTGCAGTCTCAGGTGAAGAGGGAGCCAAGCGCTCCAGCTTGTCCAGCGCATGGAAGGTGAAGCGATCGATGATCGCCTGGGCAGAAGCATCGACTTGGAGAAGAAGAATCATCGCCAAAGCGGAGATTAAGTCCAGTTCCAAATGCAAAGGATTCTCGCATACGTGTCCATCTATACTGACACCAAGGTTACATTGGTCTTCTCATTTCTTGGCTGGCTGTTATTCCATCTGCAAACTCCTGATGTACACAACCAGTGCTTTTTGACTTTCAAACCTATGCAAGACATGAACATATCAAAACTATTCAAAACTTGTGCAACTGAGTGCAAAGCCACCCCAAGCTCATGGTCAATGTGGTGACTGTAGCTGTTCTCCTGAAAAAAGGCATCCGAAGCAGCGCTGCCGGATAGAGCGCTCACGGTTGCGGCCGGCCTTCTTTCCGCTGCTCCCAATGGCCAAAATCCCAGGGGAGTAGAACCTCAGACGAAGAAACTCCGTCTTTCACCAAGCACTATTCTGTTCGATGCGAATCATCAGTGTCTTCAGCTTGGGCTTCCACTGATTCTGCAGCGTAGCTGCTTGGCAGGTGTCGCTCACCCAGAAGATCTGCTTGTAGCGACGCCTTGACATTTACTGCAAACACAAGTCTGCCGACTTCTCGGCGAAGTTGTGTGTCGATGTGTGTCGATTCAGGTCATGGCTGCTGCTGCATTTGCTTGAAAGCATCTGCGATATCATTGGAGGTGAGCTCCTCCCAATCCTCAGATTCGATTCGAAAGCAAAATACAAAAAATGGCAGAAAGATGCAGAAAGCAGGAAGACAAGAATGGCCTGGAACTTGATGAACTCTTCACCGGAGTGGCCGGTGATGAAAATGAAGATGTTGCCTTCAGTGTGTCATCGAACTGAAGGCAAGAAGAGGGGCCTTGATGATCGTTGATGGGGTGCGATAGGGGGTCCATGGAGCCACTCGAAGATCCAAAAGAACCGAAGCAGTTCTACAGATCGGCCACTTGCTTGGGCACCCTTGCTGGAGGCATCAGTGAGCAAGCGCTTATTGCGAGGTGTGCTTGGAGGATGTCTTCCTGTCAGTAGCCAGTCTGGCAGGCCGCTCCAGCTCTGGACGAAGCGGTTCACAAATGCGCAAACATCCTGGATCGTCTTAAACTGCAACCACTTGCAAATGAGAGTGAGTCAAGTACAAACTAGGGGCTACAGCTGGGCGTTTCAAAGGTTCTTCAATGCCCTGGAACGCCCTGAAGCCTAAAACCTGCTCTCCTGTAAGAAGTCTTAAGAAGTTCTCCACCGAGACTTCATCTCCTCTGTAGTCCACCTCCAAGGGCCAATCCAGTTTGCGCGTCGCTGAATCTCCCAAACCCGACGCTTCAAAAGGGAATGGCCTCCACTTCGGTGCCATAGAGGTTCAACTTGTGATGCCTCACTGAAACAGGTGCTTTTGAGGATCCACAATGACTTTGAGATGGCAACACTAAGCTGCTGGCTTCTCGTTGAAGACAGTGCCCGGCTTGCTGTTTCGGGAGTTGCATGGCACGTCCTCCAGATGTTCTCATTTCGAGGCTCCACAATGCGCGGCATTTGTGTCGAAATCGCCCTGCCTCTGCCATCATCAGAATGATCTGGGAGTCCGGAATTCCCAAACGCTTCACCGTGTGGTAGAAGGACAGCGTCTGACATCATCCGAAAAAAAACAGAAAGAGTCTTCACCTACAGACGCTATTAGATTGGAGGCCATCGCTATTAGATTGGAGGCCATCGCTAGTAGGGTGGAGGCCATTGCTCTTAGGCTTAAAGCTAAATCTAAGGAACCCACGTTGGCAGCATGTCGGTAGTTGTACCAATACTTCGAGGTTTCCACCAGGACGGCCCAGTTGTTACCTGGGTGTCGCATGACTACTCAACCACCAGTCGCAACGGCACGATCCGAGCTCGGAGCGCTCGGTGCGGCTGGTGACATCACCAGAGCCCGCGCTGGGACTTGAAAAGAAGGCCAAGGCGGCTAAGAGAAGCCTAGACAAAAGAGGTTCTCTGAAAAGTGATGAAAAGTGCATACATGTGCGAACCCTGCAGATGCTGCGGAAAAGGTCCTGAACAACAAAATGTGAAGAAAAGACAGCATGTTTTGCCAGATCAACCCGTGCTATCATGTTTAATCCAACCTGTCCGCTGAGCTTGCCTGGTCACCGGCGGCATGCTTGTGCCGGATATGCTAGGTATTGAACTTTGACCAAGCCAACCAAGCTGCTACTGGATGTCTCTACAAGGCAGTGCTGCTGTCCGTAGTGGAAACAAGTAGAAAAACAAAGGGGTTCTTCTTAGATAGTACAAGCCCTGGTGCATTCAGCGGGTGCTTTTAGCATTTGCATCAGATTCCCATCAGTGTTCATGCCATAAACTGGGACCTACTGTAACTTGAAATCTGAGGCGAGTCTGTGACCACGTGCTAATTGCAAATCCCTCTTTGCGTGCTGTTCGAGCCAGAGAATCTTCAAACGCAATGGCATCTCTGTGCTCCTGTAGTGAGACCAGAATTTGTCCATCCTTGGAGAGACAATTTCATCGCAAAGAGCGTCAGAGCTGGATCCAGTGAAACTCCGACCTCGGGTCTGTATGAAGAAATGGCGCGGATCAAAAGATGCCTGCATCTTGCTGCCCGGTGCCCTCAGCAGGACATCTTCGGCCAGCCTCACACGGTACGTGAAGCCGTCGGCCAAGCAGAACACAAGCGGCACTGGTGTAAGGACGCTAGACTTCAGGCCCAAAACAAACTCTTGGACTCAATCCCAGTGTGTTTAAGATTTTCTGGGGTGTTCTGTCCCACTCAAGCCCTGCACACTCTGCTTCTGCAACTGCATGTTTGGCTCTATGAGCTGACCCGCTGCCTTCAATCAAGCTTGCTGCTTGTGGGAGAGTGAAACTGAGAGTGTGTGCTAACAACCGGCGTACATGTCTTTAAAACTATGCCGAAAGTGTCTGCACTCACAAGCTGACCGGGTAGGCGGAACTGGCGTACTTTTCCATTCTGGACCAGACTCTGTAGAGAATGCTGGCCCCAAGTAGTGTCAAAGCAGCGAAGATGGCTCTTCCTGCTACGTCGCTGCCAAGCGCCATTCGCAGGTACGCTTCTCCGAGGTTCATCGCAAAGTAGATGGGCAGCGCAATCCACATGCAGGTAACATTCAGAAGAATGTTCACACATCGTCGGTAGGACTTGCGAAGACCGTGAGACACTGCAAGGATGATCACAAACAGCATGGGGAATCCTCCAAACCACCATCCAACAATATAGAGACTGCTTGAAGCAAAGCTCCAGCCATCCAAATCCAGGACTGCAGCCACGAGCTCATCGAGGAAAGACCACAAGCAAGGAGTTGTGCAGGCAACGATCTAAAGGTATGGAAATGAGTACATGCCGAGTTGCTTTGACAGCTCACTTAAAACAGTCGATTGCACACTGCGCTCATAGTCCTCCACCGAACCGAACCACCGGGTCATGCATTCTCTGATGATCTCCCGGTCACATGGGACTTCATTTCCGGTCTCGGACACATGACCACGATCACAACAGTAGCATTTCGCATTGTCCAGAGAAAATTGTGACAATTGAGCCCTCATTTCATCTAGACATCTGAAATAGCGCCGAAACGCGTTGGTAGCAAAGGCGAAGAAGACGGAGATGGCGCTGACCGCAATAAGTGCCACCACCAGCAGAAATCGCCCGAACTCATCACCAGGCCGCCAGGAGCGTAGCACCAGCATGGACCCTGCTGTAGCACCGAAGAGAATCAAAGAAACAGCCCCCAGGAAAGAAGGCCTCACTTGCACTTGGGAAGCTGCTCTGCATTTCAGAAAGGCACCCAGTTCAAAGGTGCACCACAACCTCGTGCAGTATGTCTCATCCCAACACACAAGCATGCGGCGGGAATGTTTCAAAAAGCCTCCGATGCTCATGACCCCTTCTGCTTTGAGGCGGGCATCTTCTTGGTTGATGCAAATCTTGTCTAAGAAGACTTTGCTTTGTGATCTCCAAAGCAAAAGAGTTGAGCAAGACACCAATGATCCTGTCAAAATGCACCAACCAGACGCTGCTCGCTGACCTTCGAGTCGCCCAAGTGGAGGTAAATAACCATTGAAAACCACGGGCAAGATGCCCAAGGCTGCCAGTGTTCCTACAACCAAAGCGGGCAAGCCATTCTTCAAGACCAGAAGCAGAAAGACCTTGTTCCAAGCAGGTCCGTGCCATGAATGTGTTAGAAATTGCTCAATTTCTCTGCATGGTTTGCTGCGGTGATACAAATTCCTTCCAGCCGATGTACGCAAGACACGGCCACACTGTGCCAACACTTCATGGGCCGGAGTGGCATGCAGAATGTCTTCACGTGTTAGCCGCATGGCTGTCATAAAGCCGATGAGCAAACCCTGAAGACGGGCCATGTCCAATGTCGTGTTGTCGCCATCGCCATCGCCATCGCCATCGCTGTTCTGACTGTTTTGATCGCTGTTGGTGTCCTTCGTGAGCTGCTCTGAAATGTGCCCACGATCTGAAGGAACGTCCTCGTCCTCGACCTCAAATTGCGCACCGACCACCGACATGACCTCGACCTCGAGGCTGGGGCGAGTCTTTGCTGGGGCCCGGAAGCGGCCCGGCAGATGGCAGTACTTCAGTTTGGAACACACAAATCCCTGCGACATGACACCATGATTGAACACGGAATGTCAGTGGACAGATGTAGACAGTATCTTAAGTCAACAGTAACTCTCAGCCCTTTTCTGTGGCATTCATGGCAACCTCCAGTCGTCTCACCTGGGTCACCCACTGAGTCCATCCAGAACGACTCATCTTCCCCCAGGGCCTGGCAGATCTCGGCAGATTTCATGTCTTGAAGGCTCGGAGCGTCCCAATAGCGTCCTGCTTCCTAATAGCTTCTTGTTCCTAGTAGCGACGCCAGGAACCCCTAAATGCGTCTTGTTCCTAGTAGTAAGGCCAGGAGCTACTAGTAGCGTCCTTGCTC